CACTCACCTCAGCCTCCCAAAGACGTGGGATTACAGGCTGAGCCACCGAGCCCGGCTTGAGATAATTCTTGACTATTTGAATGATTATTAGAGGTGTCATCTAATCACTTGATGCCTTATAAGCAGAGAACTTTGGCTGGAAGGAAGGCAGAAAGGAAGTCAGAGATTCCAGGCACAAGAGGATTCAATGTACCATCACTAGCACTGAGATGTAGGAGCCCATAGCTTCTGGGATCTAAAGGTAGTCCCCAGCTAACTAGTCAGGAAAGAAACAGGGAGCTCAGTCCTACAAAAACAAGCAACTCGATTCTGACAACAACCTGAATGAATGTGGAAGCAGATTCTCTCTCAGAGGTCAGGCCAGCTGACACTTTGGAGCAGATGAAGCAGCCAAGCCTACCCAGACTTCAGACCTACAAAACTGTGAGATAATAAACTTATGTTGTTTTAAGCCACTAAGTTTGTAGTAATTTATTATGGCAACAATAGAAAACTAATGCAACTATGAAGTATAATGTTTGTTGTAAGTTGCAGGAAGATACTCTTCTCAAAGTGAGAAAGTCTATTTAGCTGGCTGGATATTTTATTTGTTAATCACTAAGGGGTATTGAATTTTTCAAATGCTTGTTTGGCAACTATAAAAATAATCACAAAATTTTTCATCTTTACTCTATAAATGCAGCTTATTACACTGATATAGTTTTGAATGTTGAATCATCCTTATACCCTAATTAGTTATGAATTTAAAACACAGATTTCATTTTATTAAAATATATTTAGTATTTTTACAAGTTTGTTGCATCTTTGTCCAAAACTATTAGATTAAAGCCTGTCATAAGTCATATGATAAATAACTAGGAAAGCTGTTGAAATTTGTCTGTCTCTACCTCCCAGGAAAAAGACACAATATGCTTTGACAACAAAGTGAAGAAGCAGATTTCTTTTTAATCTGAACGTTTACTTTCAGCCAAGCATTCTGGCTGTAAAACATCTTATGTGCTTTAGATTTTGAGGTATAAAGCTGCAATAATTAATCTCACCACTATGTAGTGGATGTGTGGGTGGACAGATAACTCGTTCACAAATTCTCTGATTGAAATAAATGTATTTGAGAAATTACCCAAGAAGTCTTGTTCTTATTGATTGATTGATTCAGGGTCTCACTTTGTTGCTCAGGTGGAGTCCAGTGACACAATCAAGGCTCACTGAAGCCTCAAACTCCTGGGCTCAAGTGATCCTTCTGCCTCAACTTCCCAAAGTGCTGGGAGTATAAGTATAAACCACTGCACCTGACCAAGAAACCTCATTTGTACTTGAATGTTACTTAAATCTTGAGCTCTTGGATTTCAAGCTGGAGTCCAACACCAGGCTTTGGGGGATTCTAAATGAATAGGTGAGTATATATTGCATGTAAGAGAGATATAAACAGTTATGGCAAAAAAGGTAATCTGTGGCAGATTGTGTGAGTATGTATTTTTTTAATAGACACTACAATATTTTCCATTCCACATGTTCTTCTAGAACCTTGCTATTTCCCCACCAACAAATGGAGTATATGTCCTCTTTCCTCGAACCTTGGATAGGTCTTTCATGACTGCCTCAATTAATACAAATATGACACAAACAAATCATATTATTTCAGAAACTAGGTCAGAAAGATAATACAGTTTTTACTTGTCTGATTCTTGGGACTCACACTTCTGGGGCCTTGTGCTACCATGCAGGAGTATAACTACCTGAAGCTGCCATGCTGGAGAGACCACGTGGAGAGAGTAGAGAGAGAGAAAGTTCATGAGGAGCCCTATCTGTTCCAGTTCCCAGTTGTCCAACTCTTCCCAGCCTAAGCACCAGATATTTCAGTGGGGAAAGCTATGAGATGACACCAGCATCAACTACTATCTGACAGAAACCATGTGAAGGGCCTCAAGTCAAAACTAAGCTGAGATCACCTGACAGAGTAGTGACAGAAAATATAAAAAATGCTCTTGTTTCATGGCATTAAGTTTGAGGTGATCTGTAAAGCAGTATTACATAAGTGGAACATTGGTGACAAGTAGATCATGGAAGTAGTTGAGACTGCCTATGGCGAGGGTCAATAATAAAAAAAGATAATCGCCTAGTACAGAAATCTAAGGAATTTAAATATTTATTGTGGGATGGAGAAAGAGGAACCTATGAAAGAATCTAATAATGGCCAAAGAGGCTGAAGGAAAGCCAGGGAAATGTTGAGTCATGGATGACTAGAGAAGAGAATGTTTTAAGACAAACAGAGTTGTTAATTGTGATGGAATTGCTGACAGGTTAAGACAAACAAGAAATCAAAATGTCCATTTTGGAGCTAGTAACACACATCATTGGTGATTTTGGTAGGTTCAGTCTCTATGAAGTGGTACAAGGTAAGGAAAGAAAGGGAAAGCTCAAATGTAATGGGCTGAGAAATAAGTAAGCGGTGAGATTGTACAGATAATAAGTATAGATAATTCTTTTAAGAAGTTGGATGTGAAGGTAAAGAATGAGAAGGACATAGGTATAAACACATTAAATTGAGAAAAAAGAATACTACACTTAAAATAATTTCTTTGCACTTAGAGTTTAGTCTTCAAGATAGAGTTTCATGAAAACCACAACTATGTCTTCATGACATTTGTCTTGGGGGATGAAAACCTATGTTGATTCAACATATGTATGTCTCTTCCCCTGCCCAAAAGACCATAATACACTATCACTAGCCTGTCTTAGACAATTTTATGGCAGATAAGTGAATCGATGTGTTGCTGAGAGAAGGCGTAAGGAAATTCCTAGGTAGGTACATAGACAGCTAAGAGCATATTGCTAAGTGTTGAGAAAGTACAGAAAAACATATATAGGACATTTTTCACATTCATAAAACTCAACTCCTTAAATTGGTTTGACATTTGGCTTAAGATGAATGTAGCTAGAACTCTCTATTACACTTACCCGTTGTTGGTGGATGATGTTTTTGTGTTCACGTGCCACACGTGTAGCCCATTTCCGAGCTTCCTTATTTAGACTGTGCTCCTCTGTGGTTCCAGTTTCTGATTCTAATTGTCGGCTCTACAACACAGGAGAGAACAAAGAGAAAAGTATTACTATCCTTACTGCAACCACTATCACTTTGTAGTTGGACCACAGGGCCTTCACTTAATCAGCACCCAAAACATGAGGCATGCTCTACTACTGTGGAAAGCAATGTCTCATGTCACAGAAAGCAGAAGACTAAGAGGATAGCTGGAACCATAAATGACCACAGAATTTTTGTCTTACACTGATGAACACAAAACCTTCATCTCTAAAACTGTGAACTGATCTTTCTGGGTGTGAAAGAGACTAGCTAAGGTAAGCAAAGAAGAAAAAAGTATTCATGCCAACTTACTACAAAGCTAAAATCATTGCATAGATTAAAATGGAAACAACTTAATAGTTTCAGTGTGATTAAAGAAACAATAATTAAATAAAAGTGAGAAGAACAAAGTAAAACAATACAATAAGAGCAATACAATCTTGCCACCCTCTTTCTGCCACAAGATACTCAGTTTCACTTAAAGGTCCCATCACAAACTCGCTAGTAAACCTCAAACTAGCTTTTGCCCTTTCTCTGGACGTTAATGTCCTCATATGAAATATAAGGGTGTTAGATCAAATAATTACTAAGGGTTTCTTCTAGCTCTAAAATGCTATGATTCTGACTCAAGGAACAAACTGTAAAAACTAAGTAAACAATAATAATACTCTATTGTGAAGGGTACTATTGAAAGTGCTTCATACAACTTTTATTAACAATCTTACGAGCCGGGCCCGGTGGCTCAGCCTGTAATCCCGCGCCTTTGGGAGGCTGAGGTGAGTGGATTGCCTGAGCCCGCGGGTTCGAGACCCGCCTGGGCAGCGAGACCTCATCTCTACAATAAATCAAAAAAATCAGCCGGGCGTGGTAGCGCATGCCTGTAATTCCAGCTACTTGGAAGGCTGAGGCGGAAGGATCGCCGGAGCCCAGCAGGTCGAGGCTGCGGTGGCCGGGAGCGGCCACTGCACTCCAGTCTGGGCGACAGAGTGAGACTCCAACTCAAAAAAAAAAAAAAAAAAACAAAAAAACAAAAAAAAAAAACAATCTTACGAAGTGGGTCACACACATTTTATAGAAAAGAAAAGATAAAGGCTCAGAGACAAACGAATATCTAGTGTTTCCTAGATATTAAATGTTAACAATCTTGATTAAACAAACAAGTCTGTCTGATTCCAGAATCAGAGTTGTTAACCACTAATCTGTCTTAATTCTCTCTCAACTCTTAAGAACTTAAAACACACTTTATTAAAATAATTAGGAAAAATTTCTTAAATATGAATTATACAAAGAAGATTTTTAATATAAAAAGCAAAATTACAGAATGAAAAGAATTTTAGAAATTCTTTTGCAAGGTCAAGGTCACATAGTTCAAAATTGATAGAATAAGTAGAATTTGATAAACTGGATTTAAAATTTTACTTTTGTTGAGGAGAATATGATGAAGTAAGGTTGAAAATTTGTTGCTCTAAGCAGATATTTCAGCTAAAACTAGATTATGACAATGAAAAATGAATTGAAACAGCAAAATAATCAAAATTCAAATCTAGCCAACTTTATTTGCATGCATGTTTTATGTTCTAATTCACTCTTTGGGCTATCTGGGAATCAACATTATCATTATGCTTTGCAAATGGATTTGGGCATTCAAATTTATATCTGCCCTCAAATATAAATAAAATGTATGTAAACAAAATGTATATTATTAGTTAGAGGAATCTGATGTGTAAAGGTAAAAAGATATAGTTTGAAGAGTCCAGGAATAGGCTTTTTAGTCAGATAGACTTAGTACTGAATCCACTCCATGCCATTTTGTGGTCCTACTAGCTTTGTGAGCTAGTCTTAGCTATTAGAGCTGAAAGTTGGTGAAATGTCATCTATCTCATAAGGGTTAGTAGAATAAAATGAGGTCGCATTTTAAATATTCTGCTATGGTATCTACATATCAAATAATGGTAATTATTTTATTTATTTTTATTTTTTTGAGTCAGAGTCTTACTCTGTCACCCAGGCCAGAATGCAGTTGTACAATTACGGCTTACTGCAGCCTTGACCTATTGTGCTCAGGTTATCCTTTCACCTCAGCCTCCCAGTAGCTGGGACTACAGGTATATGCCACCACACCCACCTAATATTTTAATTTTTTGTAGAGACAAGGTCATGCTATGTTGCCCAGGCTGGTCTTGAACTCCTGGATTCAAGTAATCCTCCTGCTTTGGCCTCCCAAAGTGCTGGGATTACAGGTGTGAACCACCATGCCCAGCCTCAATAATGGTAATTCTTTTTTTTAAATTTTAAATTTTTAAATTGTAATGGTAATTCTTAATGATAAAGACCCAATTGAAAATTACCTGAAAAAAAAATAGTGGCTCAGCCTGTAATCCTGCGCCTTTGGGAGGCTGAGGTGAGTGGATTGCCTGAGCCCGCAGGTTCGAGACCCGCCTGGGCAGCGAGACCTCATCTCTACAATAAATCAAAAAATCAGCCGGGCATGGTAGCGCATGCCTGTAATTCCAGCTAGTTGGAAGGCTGAGGTGGAAAGATCACCGGAGCCCAGCAGGTCGAGGCTGCGGTGGCCGGAAGTGGCCACTGCACTCCAGTCTGGGCGACAGAGTGAGACTCCAACTCAAAAAAAAAAAAAATCGATAATTCTTAGGTTCCTGATAACCCAAAGAATGAATCAAAAACAAGACCGAAAATATATTGAAAAATTAAGGCAGATCCCAAAGAGAAAGAATTTGTAGGGAAGAGATGGATGACAAAGGAGGCAACTGATGGGGAAATTTAATTTTTATTACTGAGAAGCACTTTAGGAACAAGAAAAGGGGTTTAAAATGTGTGCTGGCTGCAGATAGGCTATAAACCAACTTGCTGCACAGAATCTGTACCTTTTTATTGCACATTCACTGTGCTTAAGAGTTGGGTAAGTTAAGACAGGTGTTTTCCCCTATTCTCTATAGGTTTACTATTGCTTTGACAGAAATACCCAATGTTCAAGACAGATAACAAATGCCACTGATTGGAAGATGCAGCTTTGAGATCCTCTGGGAGGGGAAAGACATATAACTAAAATTCAAATTAATTTTATCTTTTTTATGAATTCTGATATTAAGCCATGGAAGACATGTGGAAGCTCCTATAACACAGGTCTTGACAACTGAGAATATCTTACAAGGAAAATATAGTCCAGGGTGTTAAACAATACATAGAGGAATGTTCTAATGCCACCTCACTATCAAAGATACAAATTAGGAGGTAGTTTAGATCTAGTTGAGATCATCTTTTAAGATAGAGGTATTAGCAGTGGTTGATTTAGCAAAGTAACTATTTCTTTTTAAGATGCTGACTAATTTAATTTTTAGTTCATTCTTTTAACATTTTTTCTTTATCTCTTAAAAATGTATTTGAGGGTGGGTGCAGTGGTTTATGCCTATAGTCCCAGCACTTTGGGAGGTAGAGGTGGAAGGACTGCTTGAGCCTAGGAGTTCAAGACCAGCCTACGCAACATAACGAGAACTGATCTCTACAAAACAAAAATAATAAGTAAATAAATAGCTGGGTGTGGTGTCACATGCCTGCCATTCCAGCCTGTAGTCCGTTACTCAGGAGGCTGAGGCAGAAGGATCTGAGCCCAGGCGGCCAAGGCTGTGCTGAGCCATGATCATGTCACTGTACTCCAGTTTGGGGAACAGAATGAGACTGTGACTCAAAAAAAAAAGATATCTGAAACATATAAAATAACGTATATAAACTATGAAGCACAGAAGTTAAAGAACATTATCTTCTTCAAGCAGAATATGAAATCTTAAAAATTAAATATCAAATAACACTATAGTTTGGATCTGGAAAAGTTTACTATTCAACTATTTTTATTTACTATTTTTATTTAATTTATTTTGAGCTGGAGTCTCACTCTGTCACTCAGGTTTAGTGTAGTGGCATGCTCATGGGTATCACAGCCATTGACCTGCTAGGCTTAGGCAATCCTTTCACCTCAGACTTTCAAGTAGCTGGAACTAAAGGTGCGTGCCACCCTGTTCAGCTAATTTTTTGATTTATTGTAGAGATGAGGTCTTGCCAATTTACTCAGGCTGATCTTGAACCCCTAAGCACAGGCAATACTCTTTCTTCTGCCTCCCAAAGTCCTAGGATTACAGGCATAGGTCACCGCATCCAGCTTATTCAACTATTTTTAAAGAGGCATATATAATAATACAATTCCCAGAATAATAATAGCACAGAAATAATTCAAATAAATTATAACCTAAAGAAAAATGCTTTCCTATCAACCTGTAAATATAAGGTAAGTAGCTTTTCATTTGTTTGTATCAGTTGGGTAATCTGTAAGATAAGTAAAGTAAATGTGATTCTTGAGATATTTAGAAACATAAGAATTTTGCACATACAACACAAGTTGTAGTAAAAATTTTCTGAAGCACACGACTCTTTTTCTGAAAAATAAATGTCAATTTAAACACAAGCCTAGGCTGAGTACTGCTCCTTCTGGTTGGAGTAACTTTCCTATTTCTTTTTTGTTCATGAACAAATTCAGTTCTTCAAATCTCAGTTCTGAGAAGTGCTACCTTCTTTGAAATCCCTGACTTTTCCATACAAACTCCAGCTCTTTTACTTTTGATATATCTGTATTTTATTACTCTATTAATTTGTCACATATTTATTGAGTCCCTATTGTCAGGCAAGTATCACTGCATGGTTTCCTGTTTGTTCTTAAAGTAATGCGAAGGCCTGAGCAGTGCCTTAATCTCTGTGTTCCTGGCATCCAGTGCTGTGCCTAATAGTACATAGAATGCCATCAGTAAATGTTGGTTAAACAAGCATGGCTTAATGCCCTGCTTCCAAAGTGACAGCCAGGGTCCCAGGTTATTAGAATGGTGCCATCAGGGATGTGTTAAGAGAATAAATGTATTACATTAGAATCAGTTTCTAACTGATGAAGAATTAGATTATTGTATGTGAGGAAGAATAGAATACTTTC